AGGACCATTTTGGAAAACCATCCACAGCTCGTCATCAATAGCCCAGAGAAACGTCTTCATCCTCTTCTTACAGGTCGTGTAATTCGAGCTAGTGAAGATAGGAGGGGAGTTGAGAGTTGCATGACCAAAATTCAAAGACGCCATAGATCTTTTATTTGGCAGCAGTTTGCTTCGTCAAGCTCCTGCTCTGATACCATTTGTGATCAGACTTGATGTCAAAATGCTAGAGATTCTGACTTTCGATTGAATGAAAACGAAAAGAAGTAAAAGGAAGAGGAGGTCGAATGAAAGAGACGAGAGACAAGTTGATCATCTTTCTTTCTTTTCTTCCTTTGACAAAGAGTAATGGGCTTTATGAAGAGAAAGACCAATAAACAAAAAAAGATGGAGAACAGATAAAGGAAACGATTTTAAAAGACGGATTGGTTGGGCTTAAACGATTGAACCAAACCAAAGACCTCAACTCTTAAAGCTTGTGTTCTTCTTATTCCTTGGACACAAGTCCTTTGAAGCAGAGTTTCAGATAAAAAACAGAGGAAGGCGAGAATATGAAAACAAAGAGCACAACAGAAGATTAAATGTATACGTTCTATTTTAACGAGGTTCCCAAACTACTGGTCAGTCGTCATCCTAGAATCAGTACCATTGATTTCTAGGACTCTTTTTTATTGATTTACCTATCAAGCGAAATTAAAAAAGAACGTGAATAACAATAACGATAGAAAGTACCCGGATCCAAATCCAAACCAGCCACAACCTTTACGATACAGACCCTATTCTCCTTTACTCGTCAATCCCTTTAAGATTCCCAAAGTCTAGCCCTCTACAATTTCTCAATTTAAGCCAAACAATCTTTGATAATGGATTCGCAATTCTGATTTCTCGTCTTTTCAAATTTGTCCATCAGTATAGGCTTAGAATTTTGGGCAATGACTAGGACCACAAATTGGACTGGCCGTAGTGGGGCGAGAAAAATTCTCTTTCTATCTACTTTAGATTTGGTTATATTTTATTTTGTCAAGTTCCAAAAAGGCGCTAGGCGTAAGGCGAGCGCTCAGCTCCTGACTTGTGCCTTATCCGATTAAGCGTAGTCTAGGCGCGCCTAGGCGTTCGTAGAAAAAACAGAAAATATTCATCTGTGTAGCCAAAACTTTGACATTTCTTACAATAATAGCCACTTTTGGCGAAATACCAAAAATACCCAGAATTTTGAAAGTTTGATGACCAATATAGCAATTTCCGTTACAAACTTTAACGATGTTAGAAACTCTGTCAGATAGGTTAACGTTATGCTGACTAGGATGCCAAATCATCGCACACATCAGCAGACAACATAGCTTTTGGTGACACGTAGATGCCACGTGTTATTTTAATTAAAAATAAATAAATAAATAAATAATTTTTTCTCCCCATATCTTTCCTTTCCTTTCGGCTCTCTGCACAGATTTGTAACATAACTTCCCAAAAACAAACAAAAATTTAATTGCAGTATTAATCTCCACCCATCTTCCCACTCTCCTTTGATGTCGCATGTCGGAGCTCTACTCTTCGTAAAGTAGAAGAAGATGGCGGCCAGATGCAGGCGGAGATAGATGGTGAGCAGCGCAGCGGGGATAGATCGACGACGCCCAGTTGCAGACGGAGATAGATGGTGAGGGCGCAGCGGGGATATATTGATGACACCCAGATGCAGGCAAAGACAGATCGACGGCGCCCGAGACAGCGACGACGGGCGGAAATGTGGGTGTGACGGCAGAGGGGTGAATTGATGATAGCCGACAACAAGAGATGATGGTGAGCAGCGCACTGGGGAAGTTCAATTTGGCCGAGATCCACAAGCTTTTACCTTTCGACCCACTCCTGCTGGGGACTTTTTCCATAAATAGCACTGCTTAAAAAAATTTCAAAAATAGCAGCTAGTCCCAAAAATTCCAAAAATAGCACCCTTTTTCGAAAACCGCAAGGTGGGGCGCGGTTTTCGACGAAAATTGCACGGGTAGGAGGCGGTTTTGCTGACTGCATGGGGCCGGAGCGGTTTGGGTGCAAATCGCACGGGTAGGGGGTGGTTTGTAATAATATTTTTTTCAAATAATCACCATAAGTGGTTATGGCATAACTGGTTCACTTGGTTCTTTGTATGCAAGAGGTCATTTGTTTGAAACACCATCATCACATATTTAATCTTTTTATTTAGTAGAGATTAAAAAAAGTAACATGTTGTGGGGTGGCGCTTCAAACCCTGATAAAATATATAGTTAACTAAATAAAACACAACATCTACACCACCAAACTATAACTCTTTTGCTGAAACAACAACATATTGACAAAGTTTTAGTCCTTCAACACTAAAAATCATCAATAACTTTGAACAACCATAACTTTGTGCTCAAAATCCGAACGTCATGAATTTTTTTTTCATTTCGCATAACTTTTGAAGGACTACAATTTTTACTAGGAAGAAATTTTCAAGACAGGAATTATTATTGGATATACAGGATTTTGGGAATAACTTTACCTACCCTTTTCACAAATCCAATTACATTCCAAAATTATGTCTATGATAAAAGTTGTAGTCCTTAAAAAGTTATGCGAAATGAAAAAAAGTTTCATGACGTTCGGATTTTGGAGCACTAAGTTCTGACCGTCCAAAATTTGACGAAATCTGAAAAAGCTCGTTCAGGGTATCAAACGATATTTTTTCGGGACGAAGGTGGGACCAAATGGCTTCGGCTGTTTGCGGCTTGCAAGATCTCGAAAAGTTATGCGAAATAAAAAAAAAAATCGCGACGATCGGATACCCGAACACAAAAATACATTCGTTTGAAATTTCCACATAGGTTAGGATTTTTCGAAAAAAACAATTTGGACCAAACCGCAGGGTTGGGCAGTGGTTTCGGACCAAACCGTCCCCACCCCGAGCGGTTTTCAAAACCACCCCGTAACCATGCGGTTTCATCGAAAACTACGCCCCCACCTAGCGGCTTTCGTGTAAACCGCGTGGTGGGGTGGTGGTTTTCGAGAAAGGTTGCTATTTTTGGAATTTTTCCAGACTAGGTGCTATTTTTGGAAAAATGTCCCGCAGCAGTGCCTTGACCAACCCCGGAATATTTAAACAGTGTTATTTCTGGAAAAAAAAATCCTTCCGCTGGTAAGACTAAGAGAATAAAGAAAAGGGGATTTTTTCCAGACTAGGTGCTATTTTTGGAAAAGAGGGGATTTTTTCTTTGATTTGTCTCTGAGAACACGAAGGTAAGACTAAGAGAATAAAGATGGTCAAAAGACCCTTATCAAATTTTAAATTTTCTTAGTTCATCCACGTGGATTTGTTATCAAATGGAGAGCGTCCAGCTCAGCCCGTTACTTTATACCGTCAAAGAATTGAATGAAAGTGACTATTTTTGGTATTTCATTAAAAGTGACTATATTTGACCAAACCGTCAAAGTTTTGACTATACAAGTACATTTTGCCTAAAACATAGGCATGAATTGTAAAATGGAGTTGTACTCATCTTGCTGTTGATTTCTTTATAACCTTCCCCTTACTTTCCAAATTTTCACTCCCTTCTATTTTTCTTTCTTGGAAACATGGATTAGGATAATTGAAATTATTAAAAATATGAGTGTGAAGTGGGTAACAATTAACATGATTACTCTCTTACTTTTGTTTCTGCCTATAAAATATAGCAAAGCTAATCTAATGATAAACCATTGTTTTCATCAATAACAAGATTGGAATTTCCTACAATATTTTGGAGTAAGGTAACTTGCATTTTTAACCTACTACAACAGGTTTAACACGTCGCATTACATAAAATAAAATAGTCATTACGTAATGGTTACATAGCGTATGCCTACTTTACGTAAGAATTGTAAAAGGTCATTAATAAGCATTATATAATGGGCCGTCCTTTTATGTAATGAATGTTAACCTCGCGTTACATAAAGGGATAAGTCATTACGAAAGTCTTACGTAACGCTTCTGTTTTGACTATTACGTAAGAAATAACTATGGTTCCATAGTCTGTCCGTAATGGATGTATATTTTACATAACGGTTGTAAAGTGTCATTACATAAGATTTAAGTAATGAAAGGTCTTTTTACGTAATGATATTAACCTCGAGTTACTTAAAGTACTAAGTCATACATAAGTCTTGCGTAACAAATTTGATTTAACTGTTACGTAAGAAATCACTATCTTCACGTAGCTTTACGGTAATGGATGTGTATTTTACGTGACAATTGTGAAGTGTCATCACGGAAGTCTTACGTAATGGATGATCCTTTTACGTAATAAAAATTAACCTTGTGTACTGTAAAGTGTTAAACCATTACAGAAGCCTTACGTAATGGACAATCATTTTACGTAATTAAAATTAATCCATTGTTACGTAAAATGCTAGACCATTACGAAAGCCTACATAATGCTTCTAAGTTAACTGTTACGTAAGAAACAACTATTATTCCGTAACTTTTACGTAATGAATGTGTATTTTACGTAACAATTGTAAAAAGTCAATAAGTGATGACCTGCACTACCGATTACCAATGTTATGGTAATCAACGATCTAAATTGATTATAATATATTTTAACAATATAAATTCCTACAAATTGCCTAAGAAGTTACTGTAACTTAACAAGATTACCGTTTTCCGACTTCTAAATCTGATATATCTTAACTCTTTCTTCTCCCCTTCTTAAATTATTTATGGCAAAAAGAAAAGGATGTTAGGGAACATTAACACTATCCATGTAACTTGAGTTTATTAATTTGAGTTGTGAAGGAGGCCAAAAATCATATTTTACCATTTTCCATAATAAGCATGAGGTCCCTAATAAGAGAGAACAAAAGGGTGGGTATCATGATTCATGTGGACATGAAGCAATCAACTTTTCCGGCGCGCAATTATTTGGATCATTTACCAATGGGAACTGTTAGCCAGTATTGGGGTGACTAAAAATTAAAACGCCCTACCATGAGCATCAATGGCAAAGGTTTGATGCAAAGTTGAAATGAAATGATAAAAGGGCCTTGACCAAATTCATCACAGCAAGATCCTTTAACTTCTTTGTCAAAAAAAAAAAAAAAATCCTTTAACTTGCCACCTTTCCCCAACCAAAATATATTTGGTTGGAGTATTTTTTATTCCCATTCGTAGCTAGCTTGGAAAGGGGGAAGGTACAGAAAAAAGCGAAATGGCAGCTCATCATAGCTAGAAAGAGGTTCTTCTAATATAACATTATTTATTCTTCTGATTCCCTTACCAGCAGACCAACCAGCACATATGACATCTCTACTATCCTACCCAGTTTAGCTAGACCAAAGCTTCCTGTGGTTCCTGATTTCCTTACGCAGCAGATCCACCTGCATATGGGTCGAGTTCTCAGCAGTTACATGACTGAACAAACATCCATGGCACAGCTGATTCAATCTGCAACTGCGTTATGCTTAAAGTTAGAGATGATGTTACCAAAACCAGTCAATCACTGGAGGGAGGAAACAAGTTGGGCCTCCTTTCTGGAGCAATCTTCCTGGTCCTGGACAAACTCCTTGATCAGTCTGGCAACAGAATCGGGTTTCTCCACGTGAGGGATGTGGCCGCAATTTGGAATTTGGCGTATGATGGCATTTGGTAGCTCACAGTGTAATCTCTGCAATCACAGAATAACAATGTTAGGGGGAATTTGTGAAGCAGCTTTTCTGAAGAATATATTGCATCAAGTAATTGTTGAAATGTTGAAAAATATAAAACAAGTGTCAGCTTGCACTAACCACTCCTAACTTGCTGCTGATGATCTTGTCATCTTCCCCCCAAATGATCAGTGTCTTCTGATTGATCTGGAATACACCATAACCACCGGTTAGTTTCGAGGACGACCGATACCGTGCAGCATCTATAGACAGAAGGACAGAACAAAATACCTTTGGTATTAGACAGGCAACATCATAGCCACCACTGCTCATGAAATTCACAGTTGCATCAGCCCACCAGTCATACATGCAATGCAAACGGCCGATCTGAGAAAGAAAGGAAGGAAAGAAGAAAAAGAAAAACCAAGCAGAAGGCTAAAGTTAATGTTCACTTCTCTTATAAATGTCTCTTATTCCAGAAAAATCATGTTCATACGGGAAGGGGGGCTCACATTCATCCAGTCTATGCTAGTACTCAACGGTAACTTTTCAAAGGCGAGGACATTGACAAACAAGCGGAGCATCACACTCTTTAATAGAGAAACCTGATTCAGAACGAGTTGTTAATTTTAAATAAGCTAGAGAGGATGATCAACGAAGTGGATGGCAGAAAGCATTTGGCTTCTATTAACTTCTCATAGATTCAATTTGCTTGAGAGTAACAGTCCTACCCCTGCATATGCTACTGCCTTGGGTAGCGTTGCCATGCTGCCTGTCCCTTCAACATACACACTTGCATCAATCAAAACCAACTTTTCAACCTGTAGAGAACAACCGAGAGAGTTATCATCTGAGACAGAGTTCCATGAATGCAACAATAGTTCATTTCTTGTTGCAAACCTATAACAATCTTCTGCATATACTGATGTGCAATAACTTTTGCTGCACACATGGAAAAAAGAATCTCGGACTAATTAACAGAAGAATTATGTTAGAGAGAAGGGTTTACAGCTTCAGGATACTGGACAGCAAAGTCAATCGCTATTGCTGCACCGAGGCTTGGCCCGACCAAAATGACGGGCTTTCTAATGTAGGTCTTCCAAAGCTGCAGTTGGTACAAATGAAAGACAAATTATCTTTACACATACGAATAAGGAGACACCTCAGGCAAATTAAATTACTCCTCAATCAAATTTTTTTTTTTTTTTGCCATATTAAGCAAGTACCTGATACAGATGTTCCCTCTTTGTTTGAACATTACACGGTGGTAATTTTTCTAGGAATTCCATCAAAGTGCCAAAAGGGGAAGCCAAAAGGAGAAGAACAAACATGGTTGTCAGTTGTTGCCCCGTCACTGTAGAACTTGAGCTAGTTCAGAGTAGAATCGAGGAAATACAGAACAAACCTAAATCTGAGAAACCCCAACCAAGAACATCAACAGCCCAAGCCTCCAATCCAGCTTCCTCAAGCCGTGGCAATGTGTATCTCCATTCTAAGCATGAACTGAATTATTGAATTTCATGACCACTCTTTTCCACAGACGACACATTAATCAGAAACAAAGAGTCTCTTTGTTTCCTCTTCTTCTTCTTTTCATAATCAAAGCGGTTCTACTTAACAAGAAAAAGGAACCTGTCAAATCCATGGAGGAGAACCAGCGGGCTAGTAGTAGGCGTGCTCTGAGTCGACGACAATGGCTTAACACAACTGCTCATTATACAATCCCCCGAAGACCCAACCTGCAATTTCTCACCCACCCAGAAACTAAATCAGCTGCAATTCAATGAAAATGAGGAGTACTAGAGAGATGGGAACGGAGACATTACCGTGACCTGGAGACGCTGGATTCTGGAAGCGAGCTTTCGTGCAGATGGGTCTTTGATATTCTCGACTTCTTTCGGTAGAAAAGCAGGGAAACCCAAACCCTCCACCGCCGAGGAGACGGAGAAACGTGGATGGAAATGGGTGGTGTTGGTTCTCCAGCTGCTGACGATGGCCGTCCCCGGCGTTGCGACGGCGTTGGTGGCGAAAAGCAGCATTAATTAAGTAGGGATTCAGAATCGGAGGCTGCCGGTTTGTAGTGTGCGATAGTCTCTATAAGGTGTCGTCTCCTTCTGGACAGCGGTGGTAAGGAGAAGAGAGGAGAAGCGTGGCTGGGGAGGGGAGATTATGTAATTTGTGGGGCGGGAGGGGCCATGTAAGCAAAGCGGAAAGAGCTGCTGCTGCTGCTGCTGCTGCTGCTCTAGAGAGCGGATAATGATATGGAGGATGTACTTTGTCTGTTCGTTCGTTTCTGTACTCTCTTTCCGTTTCAAATATCAGATGAGATGCAGCACGCAACTCAAACAGCGCGTGTCTTTGAGATGCTCCTGCATTGCAAACGTTTGGGCTCCCGCCAATTTGAGTTGAGGGGCCTGAGGGTATATTGGCTCCGGAGGCCCAGAATAGAGAGAGAGAGAGAGAGAGAGAGAGAGAGAGAGAGAGAGAGAATGTTACTTTTATAGTACACATTGAATCTACATACATTTATGTAAATACTAGCATTGGGCTCGGCCAATGCTCGGCTCGTTGGCCGGTGTCTTGTAAAACTTCGAAGAAACCATGAAAAAATGTGATTAGTCAAGAAATATTTGATGAAAAAGGTAAATGAAAAAGATTAAATTGTAGCAAAAGTCAATCCTCCAAATTAAGTACTGCATAGATGGGCAAGAATGCCTGCTGCACACGTTGGACTCAAGGAAAAAAAAGGCTATCATTTATTAGATCAAGTGTGTTGTTGAAGTAGTAGGAGGAAGTTATGAAGCGAAGCTAATCTGGAATCCATAAATGTCCATTTCAGCTCATCTCTTGGCTGTAGCTACTTCTACAATTTGTGTTATTCATATTGATTTTCTAATACTTGAGTTACAGCAAGAGTGAAACTTTAACTCTACCTATTATAGTAAGGGTGTTGCTAAGAGTCCAGTGGTTTAGTTTTTGGATGAATAATGCAACTATTCATAAAAAAGACAGCAAAAACCAATAATAAGATTAACTAAAAATGCAGCAAAACCTTGCCATTAGTTTTTCATTAATAACACCAACTATCAATATCTAAAAAATGCAGCAAGCCTTGTCAGTACCTACAGTCATAGCGAATTGAACTTGATATTGAACCAAACTTGAGAAACAAAAGAGAAACCATAGGGAAAAGTATCAACAAATGAGAAAAGACTGCAGGCAAACAACCTGCATACTGTCCACAATTCAAAATAAACAATAGTGGACAATCCACAAGGGAAACAACCTAGAGATAGATGTTCAATATGAATATGAATGAAAAGATAGTACAACGATTTAAAATCAAATTGATTCTACGCACTTGAATCACTTTTCCTTCAACTGCCAACAGTTTTTCCTGAAGTTGAGTAAAAAAAATTAGAAATGAAAACTTGGTATTAGATAACTTAGGGGTGCTGTAAGGATACCATTTATTAAGTAAAAACCTTTACACTATGGTCTTCCATGGTTTTGAAATCATTGAGCTGAGCAATGAAATTTTTTGTAATCTCAACAGCTAGGACATCATTAAGCAAAACAGGTGTGCCGAAAGTTGTTTCCTAGAATCAAATGGAAAATAGCTTAAGAATCTGCTTGCACAAATGTTTAACAACAAATACAAATACAAAGAGAAACATGCTTTGCTTCATCCATACATTGCATTTCAAAAGGTTATAACTTTCTTTTATTGATTTGCCTGGCTTCACGTTACTTAGTTTCAAGTGCAGTAACTTAGCATGATCCAAGTCATAACATCTAGCGCTTACTAATTAAGAGTGAAAATCCAATAGACAAAAAAAAAATCCTTAACCGTTTCTACCAGATTCAATTCAAGCTTAACAATAAGTGCAGAAAACCAACCATTTCAAGTCTAGATTCTAAACTGATAAGACCATCAAGCAGCTAAATGTTAAACCAAACACAAATAAATGGATACTTTAGACAATTCCATACACCACTCAAATCAAGTCCGAGTCATAATCCTCTCAATCATGCTTCTGCTGAACACAACATATAGAAATGATAATACAAAACAGCCCAATATAAGCAAGAGGCAAAGACTAACGTACTTGGGACTGAAATAAGACGCACGCAATGCATCCATCGTACCACCATAAGGAACTTCCTTCTCCTCCTAGATAAAGTCGCACTATGGCGATCAACGCAAGTAACGCGAGCTATCAATTTGCTGATAAAGATCAATAAGAAGCAAGACAGCTAAACAGATACATAGCAGTGTACAGTCCGATAAAAGCAACCTTGTCAATAAATAGTAAGCTCAACTATTGATGCAACATGAGTCTTTATGGGTGATTTTGAAGTAGAAGAGAGAAAGAGATCAAGAGGTCAGTGAATTTCTTAAAAACCCGAGTCTGCTAATCCATTTCAAGAGTCACCATTGCTGCAAATTTTTCTGTTAATTACTTTGTAATGGTTCAACTATAATTAGAGTAAAAATTCTACTCTAACTACTGCTAGCAAGGGTGGAGCAAACTCATTTCAATAAGAAAACAGAATAATGCAGCAAAGAAAATCCATTAAAAAATGGATAGCAAACACCATAAGAAATCAGAAAATGCAGCAAACACAATAAAAGAACAGAATAATGCAGCAAACTAATCCATAATGCACACAATGTAATAACATATCAATGCTGCCAATGATGAACCCCTCAAACGAAGAAAACAGATCTTATTGCATATTTAGCATCTTCAAAGTAATAAAGGAACACAAAACGGTATGAATGACTCAACTTTCAGTATGAAATGTACTTAAGGTATAAGACTTGAAAGGCTACCAAGTTCCTAACAATAACTGCTCGTTCATAATAATAATGGAGTCTGGAAATTTTCAATACGATTGGCTGGCTTAGATTCTTACCTTAAAGAAAACCATAACATAATACCACCAGCAGATGTTATGATTGAATTATCATCATTCACACAGCAAATGGACAGGGTAATGGTACTTTATTTTATCCCTAACCATCTACAACCCAACATGCTTAAGCATCCAATATCAGCAACAAATGAAACATTAATTCAAGAAAAAACTGAATGACACCAACACCTGTTTATATTACAAAAGCTGTAATACCTGACAATAGCTGAAACTAATTGGACTAAGCCTCATATGGCGTTGACAGTTATGATGCAAAATTGATTCATAAAAAAGGGAATCCATAGAGATAAAACTGTCAAATGGATTGAAAAGCATTCAAGGCAAAGAACCATAATATTGTTCGCAATTCATACTAAACAGAAAAGGAAAATTCAGAACAGAAATAGCCTATAACCTGAGTTTCAATAGGGATCTGAATAAAAAGATCAAACTGAATATCCCATGGAGGAAACAATAATACTAAACAGAATGCTTGATATGGTGGGTATTAGGTGGAGCAAGGCTGCAACAACACTACTTCTCATCGTCAGCCTCATAATCAAGAGCAACTTCCATTTTCAGTCCATCTGAGGTTGCTCCTCCAAGGTCCTTTGAACACGAATCCTTATTGAGTTGCTGCAAGTTACGTGGTAGACATAATAAGGTAGGTACGCGGCTGCGAAGTTGCTTGGGTAGACGAATGCAACGTCCCACGGCCGGCGAGATTGAGGGAGAGATTGCGTCGAGAGAGACGGCGAGCGCGAAATTGGGCGAGAGATTGCGTCGAGCGAGACGGCGAGAGAGACCCAGACAGGGACAGCAAGTGCGAGACAGCTTTTGTTTTCTGGACGGCCGGCGTGATTGATTGTGGACGGCCGGCAAGATTAAGCGACAGATTGGGGGATAGAGACGATGGGGGATTTCTGATGAACAGAGTGTCGCCGAACGATGGGAGAGAGACGCTTAGAAAACGAAGACTTTCACAAAAGAAAAACGAAGTCTAAATTTACAAAACGGACCCTCAGAACTGTGCGCTATTTGCAGCAAGGGGGTGACGTGGCAAAACTCGGATCTTGACATTGCTATATAGTGTTTTATAGATGTTATAGTATAAATTGAACTGGTAAGTATAATTTTTTTTTCCTAATACAAACTAAATTTGTACATTTAGCATTATGGTACAAATTTAGGTTGTAGTTTGTACCTCGAAACATCAATACTTTAGAATATTATAGAAGAGCTCTTATTAGATATGGTATGTCTGCTATGGCGAGAGAGGAAGTAACTCAAGCAACAAGAAAAACTACAAAATTGTGCGATAAATCCATAACAATATGCACTTGCTAGCCAATGAGGCTATGGATAAGATGATGACGGTCTACATACTATTGATTAATAAATTTTTTTAATTTGGTTCTTGAAAAATACTAATTAGAAAATTTATGAAATTTCTAGGTCTAAATTTGAAAAAAATAAAAAGATAATTGACTATGCGTTAGTTTCAGCCCAACAACCAAAAATATAAACTTTGAGTTTATCATGGACTCTCAACTGAGATGGAAAATAAAAGATAGAAAATATGAAAAAATCAAAGAAGTATATGAAAAAAGGAGAACATAGGATTTGGTTCCGTCAATTCCGAGGCCACTTTCGTCCTATTAGATGGGGAGTGAGAGAATTTCTTGTTGTCTTCTTACCTGAGCTCGAGCGAGAGATAGGTGATGGACAATGCAAAATTAGCTAAAAATAAGGTTGGTCTCAGTACAACAAACAAACATAATTGACCTCTTTAGACAAACATTTATGAAGTTCGCAAGAATTACGAAAAGACTGCTTAAATAAAATAAAATAATCATGAAAAATTCGGCTAAAAAACTCACGTTTCTCTTCTTTGGATGAATCGACCTGAAATTCGCAAGAATTCCAAAAAAAATTGTTTAAAATAAAAAAATCACAAAAAATACGATAACAAAAAAATTCACATTTGACCTATTTAAAGTTAGGCTCACTCCCCAAGCCTTTTAAATACTTCAAATTTTGGCAGAAACACCCCCAGTATGGGACCCTACTGAAAGAAGCATGGAGTGGAGAAGCTAGGGGACTGTCATACCATAGATTTTATTATAAGCTAAAGCAATTCAAAACCAAACTGAAGAAATTAAACCGCTCGGAGTATTTTTGACATATCTGAGAGAGCTAGAACAGCAGAGAAGGCCCTTGAGCTGCAACAGCAGTTGGTTCTCCAGGATCCGACTGCAGAAAATGTGGGAAAGGAAGCTGAATTGGCAACCTTCTGCCATGCCACTCAGCTTGCTGAAGAAAGTTTTTTCAGACAAAAATCCAGGATAAGAAGTATTCAAGAGGGTGATGCCAATACAGCTTATTTTCATGCCATGGTGAGAATCAGAAATCATAAGCAAACCATTATGAGGCTAGTACGAGATGACAATACAGAAGTGACAGAGGTAAAAGAAATGGGGGAGGTAGCTGTTGAATTCTATAAGAGGCTTTTGGGGGAAGTTGATAAAGAGGTCCAGCACAACCCAGTTGATTATTTTCAGAAGCAACTAAGGCAGAGACTATCTCCAGAAGGTGTTCAGGTGTTGTTAGCACTAGTTACTAGAGAGGAGATCAGAGAAGTGTTCAAGAAGATGCCAAATGATAAAGCCCCGGGGCCAGATGGCTTCACTGCTGAATTTTACAAATCTGATTGGGGTGTAATTGGAAGTCTAGTGGAAGAGGTGGTATTGGAATTCTTTCAAACAGGAGTGATGCCAAAGCAGGTGAACTCTACAATCCTTTCTCTAATTCCAAAAGTGACTAATGCTGATAGAATGAAAGATTTTCGACCTATATCTTGTTGTAATGTGTTATATAAGGGAATCTCAAAACTTCTATCGAATAGGCTAGCTGCAGTTCTCCCTATGGTTATTGGCAAGTCACAGTCTGCTTTTATCAAAGGAAGGTTAATTAGTGACAACATCTTGATGACTAGTGAGTTAGTGAAAGATTATCATAAAAAGAACACAACATCGAGATGTGTCTTGAAGATAGATTTAATGAAAGCGTTTGATTCAGTCAATTGGTCATTTCTGTTGAATATGCTTCTGGATATGGGATTCCCTGCATCTTATGTCAGACTTATTGAAGCCTGTATCACCACACCAATGCTCAGTGTGTCCTTTAATGGTGGACTATGTGGCTACTTCTCTGCTAGTAAAGGCCTAAGACAAGGGGACCCCCTCTCCCCATATTTATTCACTGTGGCAATGGAGTACTTCTCGTGTCTAATTCACAGGGCAGCAATTGATAATCAAGTCCCTTATCACCCACGTTGTAAAGCACTAGAGATCACTCATTTATGCTTTGCAGATGATCTTCTAGTGTTTACAAATGGGTCGATAAGGGGAGTGGCGGGGATTAATAGAGTACTTGCTCAGTTCTATAAGGATTCTGGTCTTCGTTGTAACCCTGCAAAATGTCAGTTGTTCTGCTGTGGGACCTCTGATGAGGAGCAGAAATGGATCTCAGGCTTTACTGGATTCCCACTTGGTAGCCTACCAGTCCGCTATCTTGGTGTACCTCTCATATCAGGTAAGCTCACTTCTGCTGACTGCTCAGTACTTGTAGATAAGATAACAAAGAGAATCAGAACATGGCAAGCACAGAAGCTCAGTTATGCAGGTAGATTACAGTTAGTTTCGTCTGTCATAACTAGCATTATGCAATATTGGATGGCTTTATTCTTGTTGCCCCAGAAGCTCTTAAAAGCGATAGAGACTATATGTAATCATTTCTTGTGGGGTGTGGGGGATCGTAGTTTGAGGAAGAAGGCATTGGTAGCCTGGAAGTATGTTGCCTTGCCCAGAAGAGAGGGGGGATTGGGGATAAGAGATTTTAAGAAATGGAACCAAGCATGTGTAATTCGCCATATCTGGAACCTGTTGGCTGAATCTGGATCGTTATGGGTAGCGTGGGTGAAGAAGTACCGTTTGAAGGCCAGGTCTATATGGGATATTACAGGGCAGTCAGCAGGGACTTGGATATGGAGGAAAATTTTGAAAAGCAGGGTGGGAGTCCAGTCCCATATCTCTGGCAGTGGTGAGTCACTTGCTTGGGACAGCAGGGTACTGCCAAGGTACTCCGTAAAACTGATCTGGAAAACTATTAGGGATCCCCGGGGGGAGGTTGAATGGTATAAGGTTGTGTGGGGGAAACCATACAGCCCGAAGCATAGTCCTTTGTTATGGCTTGTGACACTTAATCGTATTACCACGAAGGATAAATTGCAGAATTGGGGGTTGATTGATGATATCTCATGTGGTTTGTGTCCAGGGGGGCTTGAGACAAGAGATCATCTATTCTCAGGATGTTCTTATAGCAGGAGTGTTTTTTGTACTGTGTTAGCTAAGTTTTGCAGGTTCCCTGACTCTTCTTCATGGCCAGATCACTTGCAGTGGGCGATCAGGCAATGGGCTGGGGGTACTGGCGGAAGCAGTGAAGGTCGATTAAAGTGGTCCATGTGTGTTAGTTATATATGGCGAGAACGTTGCAATCGAGCACATGATGGAGTGTTTTGCCCCTCAAGCAAGTTAGCAAGTAGAATCGAGGATGAAGCGAAGTGGATTCTTGCGGCTAGGCATCCCTGAGCAGGCTGATATATTGTATATATAGGATTACTTTGAACTGATGTATAGCGTTTGATAGTTCATTGCTTTGTTGACTTTGATAAGGGTTTTGCAGTTGCAAACCCTAGTGCTTAATGCAAATTTTGATTAACCATAAAAAAAAATTAGTAGCCCTAAAGTTCATAAGAATTTCAAAAATATACATCTTAATGGATAGTAATTGGTTGAACCTCCGTGGGGGTCATTTCAATTGTTTGCACGACCTAACTAACTACCCCATTCCGAGCCAAGTATAATCCGAAATGGCGTTGCTAATATAATGGCGACCGAAGTCGTATTCCATGGGTTTCGATACCCTAGGTTACTTCTCACGTTGTTATTATCTAGTCAATTTGTTTATTTGGGTTGTTGGTGTCAATTAATTGTTGGAGAAAGCAAGAATACAAAGCAGGTACTTCGGGGTAACTCCCTCGCCCTAAACCTAGGTTCGTCATGCAAATGGTTAACTATGTTGGGTTTGCATAATAAGGTTTTGAACCCGCTAAATTGAGGGTTTCAATGATTACTCCGCCTCCTCCTAGTACACTCCCAGAGACTCATTGTCACCTCAGTAAAAGCTCACATACTAAGGAATGACCACTAGTTTCTCTCAATAGGTTCAACCTATCATGCACACTAAAGCAATGGATTGATGACGCTTGCATCATCTCTAGCATTGTCTCATGAAGGCATTCCTCGAGTACGGTCGCCTTGTCAACTAAAAGGAACCCTAAGATCATTTATCTACCTTTAATTAGCCTTAAGGTGCTCAAATCTAGTCTAACCCTAAAACTCCCACCTAGTTATGAGACTCAGTTGTAGGCTAGCAGTAAGAGCTGGAGAGACAAGCCACGACATAATCAAGCATAAATGAAGCATATAATCACTAAAACAAACAAATCAATACACAAACCCTAACTCAATCATATCTACATTCAAAACCTAATTTTAGGGTTTGGGGGGGGGGGTAACTCCTAGTACCTTATAGGACTACTCCATATAGGAGGGAATAAGATACATGTAGAGAAATAGAAGAAGACAAGAATTGGGGAGAGCTCCCTTCCTCCTCCTTCCTTTAGCTTCTCTCTCTCAAACTAGAAACTTCTCAATTGATTTCAACTCTCTAAATGAGGGGGATAACCCCCTATTTATAGATTTAAGGGTCTCAGCCAAGTTCATGGTCGAACTGGGAAAGATCGTGGGCG